AGCGATGGAGCACCCAAAACTTCTGAAGTCAACCCGTTCCACTGATTGTTAAAATATATCAACAAATATTTCAGATGAGGAGGTCTCTATCTAATTATCGAATCGATCCAACGTCTAATATATATATGTAAAAAGAGAAAAGAAAAGAAAATCAGTCAACAGGTTAGCCCGAATATTACACTAGTGTTCAAATCCCTCTGTTAACTATCTGGTATTATATTTAACACGTAGAAAGTCTCTGTGTGTTTTTCTACTTCGCTGCACAATATTCTTTACCTAGAACATTTATTCTTAGGAGGAAAAGAATATGCCTATTTCCAAAACAAGCACCGAGCCCCAGCTGCCTGTCTTTTTTTTTTAAAAGCTTGTGAAGTCATATAACCTCTTTCCATTTTACTCTTGTTTTCATTTGTTAAAAGCCTTTTTTCTTCCCTCTGTTATTTCTCATAATTACTCCATTCCATCATCATCATCATCATCATTATTATCTTTATTCATTAAATATGAAGCTCAGTCAACTGGACATTTAAAAATGCGTCACAAATACAATTGACTGGTGCTAATGGTTGATACGGGTTGCTGCCAGCGTCCTAGGTATCAACCAAGTGCCTTCTTAAGATGTACTATTATTATTATTATTATTATTATTATTATTATTATTATTATTTAATCTTTAGTGAGATTCTCAGCCTTTGAGGCTGGTTAATAGCTCAGCAGCTCAAGTCCTAACCAAGGACCTAGGAACTGTTAAGGTATCGTCGGAGGATGTAAGCTGTTCCGAGTAAGGTGGGTTTTTTTTTTGTTATTATTATTATTATTATTGTTATTTTTATCATCATCATCATCATCATCATCATCATCATCATCATCATCATCTCTTTTATTCATTAAACATGAAACTCAGTCAACTGAACACTTAAAAATGTGTCACTAATACGATTGACTGGTGCTAATGGATATTATTATTCTTTTTTTTTTTAAAAAAAATCTGTTTTTCTTATAGGGGAAACGATAAGGGGAAAGATATCCTTTTTTTAAAAAAGTTTTTTTTTTAAAAAAAATGCAATCCAGAGATGTCAAAAGCAGCGAGTTACGTAGAAAAACAATTTAGCTCAAATTAATCTATTTCCACATTCCTTTTCTCGGCAGCTGAATCAGCATCAGCTCAGCTGCTTCCAGTTCAAACCAGATGAAACTTTGCAGCAAAACCGAGAATCAGTTTCCTCCTTGGCAGGCACCCGATCTTTCTCTCTCTCACACACACACACACACTCTGCCCAAGCACCGTGGCAATGTGGCCAATCACAAGGATGGTTCACTTAAATTCTTATCTCTTTCCTACCTATAATCATCTTGCTTCTTATGCAATCTAAGGAACAGAGTGGCAGCCAGCAGAAAACAATAAGTATTGTCTCCTCTACCTGATCTCTCCCTCCCTCTCTCTTTCTCTCTCTCCCCCTCTCTTTCTCTCCCTCTCTCCTTCCCTCTCTCCTTCCCCCTCTCTCTTTTTTTCTCTCTCTCTCCCCCTTTCTCCCTCTCTCTCCCTCTTTCTCCTTCCCTGTTTCTCTCTCTCTCTCCCTCTTTCTCCCTCTCCCTCCCTCTTTCTCCTTCCCTCTGTTTCTCTCTCTCTCTCCCTCTTTCTCCCTCTCTCCCTCTTTCTCTTCTCCCCCTTTCTTCCTCTCCCTCCCTCTCTCCTTCCCTCTCTCTCTTTTCTCTCTCTCTCTCCCCTTTTCTTCCTCTCACTCCCTGTCTCCTTCTCTATCTTTCCTCCTCCTCCCCTCCCTCTCTTCCTCCCTCCCTCCCTCTTTCTCTTTCTTTCTCCCTCCCTCCCCATCTCTCTTCCTCTCTTTCTCTCTCTCCCCCTCTCTTTCTCCCTCTCTCTCTTTCTCTCTCTTCCTCCCTCCCTCCCTCCTTCTGTCTCTCCCTTCTCTTTCTTTCTCCTTTCCCCCCTCCCTCCCTCCCTCTCTTCCTCTCTCTCTCTCTTTCTTTGAATTCAGTTCTGTCCGATTCTCAGAGACTGCCTAGACCAGTCCCTGCAGTTTTCTAGGCCAGTTTTTTTCAGAAGTGGTTTGCCGTTGCTTCCTTCCTAAGGCTAAAGAGGGAGGCTAGCCCAAGATTACACCCCTGACTTGGTGCCCAAGGCAGAACTAGAACTCACAGTCTCCTGGTTACAACCCTGGTGCTTTAACCGTTACAGCCAAACTGGTTCCAACCCATCTGATCTCTACCCTCCCTTTAAAGGTATTTCCCCTGATTGTTCCAAACACAAAAGAACAGCACCAAATAAGCCAGATTTGGGAGCAGCCTTCATCTCGGTCAAGGCCAATATTTCTCAGCCTTGGCTATTTAAGATGTTCAACTCGCCATACAGGTACTCCTCGACTTACAACAGCTCATTTAGTGACCGTTTGAAGTGACAACGGCATTGGGGAAAAAAACGACTTATGACCGTTTTTCACACTTACGACCATTGCAGCTTCCACGTGATCAAAATCCCAGATGCTTGTCAACTGACTCATAGATATATAGAGAAAAAAAAAATCACTTATAGCAACAGTCTCCCTTAGCAACCAGAAAGTCTGGGCTCCATTGCGCTTGTAAGTCGAGGACTACCTGTATGACTGGCTCAGGAATTCTGAGTTGGGTTGAAATCCACACATCTTAAAGTTGCCAAGGTTGGGAAACGCTGATTAGGATATAAGGAGAGCAGTCCGCAATGGCGGCGTGGCGCCTGGTGGCGCAGCAGACTAATAGCCTGTTATTAACATTCAGCTGCCTGCAATTACTGCAAGTTCGAATCTCCCCAGTCTCAGGGTTGACTCAGCCTTCCATCCTTTCTAAGGTAGGTAAATTGAGGACCCAGTTGTGGGGGCAATAAGCTGACTTTGTATAAATATACAAAAGTATGAAGGCTATTGCTTAACGCATTGTAAGCCGCCCTGAGTCTCCGGAGAAGGCGGCATATAAATCAAATTTAAAAAAAATAAAAAAAATGAAGGAACATTTAGTGCTATCGTAAACAAAAGAAGCAAAAACCCAGCATCTAAAAATGACATAATTTTACCACTGGGTTGGAGTGGAGTATAGCACAGCAACATTTCTACCATTGTTTTAAGCACAGCAAAGCTAAAAGTACAGGAAAACAGCAGTGTGCAACCCAGATAGGGGTTACTAGCGCATCATGCATTTCCACTGTGAGGTTGCGTACACTTGGTCAGTAACAGTAACACAGTTGGAAGGGGCCTTGGAGGCCATCTAGACCAACCCCCTGCTCATGCAGGAGGCCCATACTAGGGATTCGAACCGCCGAACCGCCTGCCGACCTCTCTGATCGACAAGCTCAGCGTCTTAGCCGCTGAGCCACCTAGCCAGGTCCACTACAGTAGGGCTGGTTGACGGTTTGTTTTTCACATCTCCTGTCCTTCATGATAATCTTTGCATGGGGTGGTCAGACTATAAAAGAAGGCCAAAGGTCAAGAGGTTCGATGTCAGGAAGACGTCAGGAAGTGAAACATACCGTGCTCCTTGTTGTCGACCTGTCTGGCTACAACGTCGTAAGTCTGCATTCTGCTCATAAATACCGATATTTTGCAGGGCTCGCCTTTCCCACAAGAATGCGAGTCCTTAAAAGTCTATCCAGATTTCAACTGCTACTGATTTCTACTTTTGGGAGAAACTGGGGGACTCCCACCCACTTTCAATCGGACATAGCAAGCCAGATCATCTTTTTTCCCCAACCTGGGGGTGGTCCCCAGTAGCTGGCTGGAAAAAACACAACTGGCCAGAGGTTCAACCCACCTAAGATCTCTTTTAACCCAATAGGTCACTTCATTTTATTTTGGCGCGTTGGTGCTTTGCAGTCAGCTTCCTGAGTGTGGTCTCGTAGAAGAAATCACAGGGTTGGAAGGGAAGATTGATCATCGTTTTCCAGTTTCCACCCCAATAGTTGGGGTGGACTATCGGGGTGGAAACTGGAAAACGATGATCAATCTCTCCCAAATAATGCCCCCCCCTTCTCCGTGAACGTTGATGGATGGATTCCAAGTGAACTTTTTGGGCTGCAAGCAGCATTTTTTTTTCCTCTTGGAATTTTGTGGCGGAGATTCCCACCAGACTGCCTAGATCAGGGGTCTCTCCAACCTTGACAACTTTAAGCCTGGCAGACTTCAACTCCCAGAATTCTAACCCCCTGGCTTAGATGTAGAACCACGTTGTGGTTGAGAAAGAGAATTGATGCATACATGGTAAAGTCAACTAATTCCCCAGCCTATTTTAGGCTTCCCCAAACATCCATTTGGAAGTGCCAAATTATAACCACGGCTCAAGCCCCACCTCTGGGCCAAGACTCCAATACCATATAATTATCCAAGAAGCCCAGAAAGAGCCGCCACCGTCTCCTCCTGCCGGGTTCCCACCATTCACCCTCCCCCCCAAAAAATGCATTTTTCCCCACCACAACCCCCAGCCACAGTAAAGGCAGAGAAGCTGTTGACTCCAAGAGCCAGCTAGTCAATTTTGGCTGAAGATGGAGAAACCTGCAGTCGAGGCTGGTCTCCTGGAGAAGGTTGGCCAGGGGGGACGGATCGGAGGAGTAGGTTCCCCCCCACCCTCCCCCCAGCCCAGCCGGGAGCTCCCTCCAGACGTTTCCTCCAGCGGTGGGGGCTTGTTTTCTACTCCCGCGAATCCGTTTCTGACTTCCGCACCACGCGTCATGTTCCATCCAGGCTATTTTGAAGCGCCTTGCCTTAAGCGGAGATCCCCGTCCCCCCCCAAAAAAGTCCCCTGTAAAAAACCCAACAGGCCAACCTACCCGTTGGCCAACCCAAGAACCCAACCCAACTCAACTCAACCCAACTCAACCCAACCGGGCCTGGCTTGCCTTGGCTTGGCTTGGCTTGGGGAGAGACAGTCTCCTTTCGCTTCGCCCCTACCCAAGGTGCGCCCAGATGCGTCCAGTTGCCCCTCGCCCACTTTACCCGAGACGCCCCTTCCCCTCTCACCTCGACCCTGGGCTTGCTCTGCAGCAGGTGCTCCAGGTAGAGGTCCGAGAGCGCCGTCCTCATGCTGCTGCTGCTGTTGTCTCCGCTCCGCTCGGATTTCAGCGTCATGGTGCAACGGGAGGTTGCTTGGCTGGCTGGCTGGCTGGGGGCGCAGGGCGCAGGGCGCACGGCTCTGGCTGGCCCCGGGCGAGAAGCGGATCTTCTCCGGTGCGCTTCCCAGCCGGCCGAGGGGAAAAGGACCGAGCAGCCGTCAGGCGTCGGGAAGGGAACCGAAAGGAAGGAGGGCTTGGAGAGCTGGGCCCGCCCGCTCAGCCGCCGGGAGGGGCCAAACGGGAGGGATCCCCCCCCTCTCCACGCCGCCAGCCCGCCCGGCTCCTCTCTGCGGCCGCTCCTTGCGCGATTCAGTTCAGCCCGGGCATCCGCGGGGCAGAGGAGGCGCAAACCGCGCAACCATCAGAGGCTGAGCCCGCCCGGGGGCTCCCTCTTGCCGCTGTCAGTCCTCGCCCCCTTCCCCACCCGGGGTGCTTGCAGGCCTTGCTTGCAAAGCAGAGGGAGCCCCCGCGCGAAGTGGGTGGGTGAGGGGGGTGCCAGGCCACAGGGAAAGGGTTCGCCTACCAGCCACCCTCGTTCCACGGGGCTGTCTTTCTTTCTTTCTTTCTTTCTTTCTTTCTTTCTTTCTTTCTTTCTTTCTTTCTTTCTTTCTTTCTTTCTTTCTTTCTTTCTTTCTCTCTCTCTCTCTCTCTCCCTCCCTCCCTTCTTTCTCTCTCTCTCTCCCTCCCTTCTTTCTCTCTCTCTCTCTCTCCCTCCCTCCCTCCCTCCCTTCTTTCTTTCTTTCTTTCTTTCTTTCTTTCTTTCTTTCTTTCTTTCTTTCTTGGTGCTATAGCTACTGCCTTTCCTTCCTTCCTTCCTTCCTTCCTTCCTTCCTTCCTTCCTTCCTTCCTTCCTTCCCTTTTTTCTTTTTTCTTTTCTTTTTTTGTAAACCAGGGTTTGTTTGTTTGTTTGTTGATTTATTTATTTATTTATCAAATAATAATAATAATAATAATAATAATAATAATAATAATAATAATAATAATAATTTTATTTCTATACCGCCCTTCTCCCGAAGGACTCAGGGCGGTGTACAGCCTATTTAAAAACACAAGACAAAACAACAATTAAAAATTTAAAATGATTAAATAGATTTGGCTCAATTTAAAACCTCAGAAATTTAAAATACCCCAATTTAAAATTATTTAAAATTATTATGTTGATAGCCCGGCCTGGCGGAACAATTTATCTATTTATCTATTTATTTATTGGTTCAATTTATATGCCGCCCTTCTCCGGAGACTCAGGGCGGCTTACAATGTGTTAAGCAATAGCCTTCATACTTTTTTGTATATACCTGCTTAGTAGGGCTTTCGGGCCCCCCTAAGCGGTGTTCTTTTTTATACAAAGTCAGCTTATTGCCCCCACAATCCGGGTCCTCATTTCACCTAGCTTGAAAGGATGGAAGGCTGAGTCAACCTTGAGCCTGGTGAGATTTGAACTCGCAGTAATTGCAGGCAGCTGGTGCTACTTAACAGCACTTTAGGCTGCTGCGCCACCAAGGCTCTTTAAATGGCTCCGGCCGTGCCCCCACCCCCCAACTCCGTTAATAAAGTCTTGGCTTACTTACTTAAGTAAATGTTGAAATACTTTAAATGATGATACAACGGATATATTTTATATAAGAATAAATTTGGGATATGTAGTGATATTGTGAAGAGAGGAGAGGGCACTAGGGGTGCAAGCCAACCGATGTACTGTCTGTACTTGATTGAATGAATGATGTTTGTATGTTTTGTTTTTCTTTCTTTTTTTAAATAAAAAATGATTTGGAAAAATAAATAAATAAATAAAGTATTGGTTTATTGTCCCAAAGGTGCTTTTTATTTTTTCAAGAGGCCACTGAACTTTCTGTTTTTTTTTTAATTTCTTCTTTGAAGACGTTTCACTTCTCATCCAAAGAAGCTTCTTCAGCTCTGACTGGATGGTGGGGAATGGAAGGATTGATGCTCCTGGTCAGCTGGTCATTTGCATGCTTTTAGAGAGCCAGTTGAAGCCTCTTGGAGGTTTCTCAGTGTCCTCGGGGTCACCTGAGTGGTGCAAATGGGTGTGGAGCCTTCTTGGAACTGTTGTTGAAAGGACTGTGTTGTAGATTGGAGATAGAAGATGCCGTATCCCTCCAAACTCTGTTGAGACAGGGCTGTTCAATTTGGACATAGATGGCCTCTTTGAACCCTTTTCCAAACCAGTGGTCCTTTCTGCCCTCCTTCCATTCCCCCTTCTTCCATTCCCCACCATCTAGTCAGAGATGAAGAAGCTTCTTGAATGAGAAGCGAAACGTCTTCAAAAGAAAAAGCAGAAAATCCAGTTGCCTCTTGAAAAAAGCACATTTGGGACAACCATGACCTGGATGACTGAGAATCTCCATAGACATTAGAATAGAGTAGAGTAGAGTAGAGTAGAGTAGAGTAGAGTAGAGTAGAGTAGGTAGAGTAGAGTAGCATAGCATAATTCTTATTGGCCAAGTATGATTGGACACACAAGGAATTTGTCTTATTGATATTGTTTTATTGAGTACACCAAGGGTAAGCAAGTGGTGGTTTAGTGTATAGTGCGGTCCCTAGATACCAGCTGGCAGCGGGGGGGGGGGTTTCCTACTGCCTGTCATCCTGAGATCCACCTTTGCAAAAATAGGAGATTACCAAGGTTGTTGAGAGTTTGGGTCATGTTTCCTTGGGCTGGCCTCCAAGTAAGTCATCTGGAGTTTTGCAATCACTCTGCAGTAACTCCAAGACTGCATAACCCCACCGCACATCTATTGTGCTCATCTAGCAGAACACCTGGAGCAAAGTCGTAACCACAGCACCTGGAGTGAAATAATAACCTAACGATTAAAGCCAGATCTTTACAAGCTTTCAGAATCAGATGTTCTGTATCCTTGACCAGCTAAAAGCAGTGGTCTCTTAAAAAGGTAAAGGTTCCCCTAGCACATATGTGCTAATCGTTCCTGACTCTAGGGGGCGGTGCTCATCTCCGTTTCAAAGCCAAAGAGCCAACGCTGTCCAAAGACGTCTCCTGGTCATGTGGCCGGCATGACTCAACGCCAAAGGCGCACGGAACGCTGTTACCTTCCCACCAGAGGGGGTTCATATTTTTCTACTTGCATTTTTTACGTGCTTTCGAACTGCTAGGTTGGCAGAAGCTGGGACAAGGAACGGGAGCTCACCCCATTATGCAGCACTAGGGATTCGAACCGCTGAACTGTCAACCTTTCGATCGACAAGCTCAACATCTTAACTACTGAGCCACTGCATCCACTAGTGGTCTTTTGGGGTAGCAGGTTTGTGTTGACTGATGTTCAATTCCCTTTGATTTAAAGCAGAAGTGTCCAACCTTAACAACTTTAAGATTTGTGGAGTTTTAACTCCCAGAATTCCCCAGCCAGCATGGGAAGTTAATTCTCGGAGTTCAAGTCCAGAAGTCTTAAAATTGAATGAGTTTGGGGCCCTGGCAGGTTTCAAAATAAACAGAAGTCAACAATGTTGACTAAGAATATGTCCTTTGAGGACAGTGATATATTGAATAAAAAGTCGGGTTTTAGAGTCAAGAAAAAGGTGAACTATTTAGGGGTTATGTTGACAAACACAAACATAAAACTGTTTGAAAATAACTTACATTCCTCTGTGGAGGGCTATTAAACAGGATCTACAAAGATGGGGTAAATTGCGTTTATCGCTACTGGGAAGAATCTCTTTAATTAAGATGAATATTTTACCAAAGATGCTTTTTAAAAAATTTTCAGACGTTACCAATAGTTACATCCAATGATAACCCATTTAAACAATGGCAGAAGGATATTTCTAGGTTTATATGGCAAGGGGAAAAAACCCCAAGAATTAGTTAAAATTGTCAAAATGGGAGCCCTCTGATTTAAAGCAAGCTTAAAGTTTGCTTTTAGGAGCCTGAGTGGCATAGGAGGCTAATGCCTCCTACTAAGGCAGCATTTAACATCCAGCTGCCTGCAATTACTGCGAGTTCGAATCTCGCCAGGCGCAAGGTTGACTCAGCCTTCCATCCTTTCTAAGGTGGGTAAAATGAGGACCCAGTTTGTGGGGGCAATAAGTTGACTTTGTATAAAATATACAAAAGTATGAGGGCTATTGCTTAACGCATTGTAAGCCGCCCTGAGTCTCTGGAGAAGGGCGGCATATGAAAATAAATATAAATAAATAAATAAAATTGTCACTGTCAGATGTAAATGCCTTATTCTCCAATGTGTAAATAATGTATATATGGAACATCAGAGGTTAACTTATTCTTTGGACTTTAATGTATTCATAACTTACCACTCCCATTCCTAGCTCCACCCCTTGTATATATAAGGAGCCACCCTCACCATTCTCGTTGCTTCTACCTTGAATATTCAGTGAATATAGAATGCCTATCATAATTAAAAGGAAATATATTTAAAGCTTTAACTTCTATTATCTTTATTGAGTCTGATCCTGGAAATATTGCAACAGTCACTTGTAACCACAACTTGGGTCAATTTGTGAGCTACAGCTCAGAGTTGGATTTCAGCAGGTTCTGACAGGTTCTGGAGAACCGGTAGGGAAATTTTGAGTAGTTCAGAGAACCGGTAAATACCACCTCTGACTGGGCCCGCCCCCATCTATTCTCCGCCTCCTGAGTTCCAGCTGATCGGGAGGAAATGGGGATTTTGCAGTAACCTTCCCCTGGAGTGGGGTGGGAATGGAGATTTTACAGTATCCTTCCCCTGCCACGCCCACCAAGCCACGCCACACCCACAGAACCGGTAGTAACAAAATTTGAAACCCACCACTGCTACAGTTTATGGCTTAGTGCCTTCGGCAGAGCTGGCCAAATATGGTTCATTCCAAATCATGGTTAAGCAAACAGTTGCTTAGTCACAGGCTGTGAAAAGCCTTAACAACAAAAGAACAGATGTTTCATTTCTGGCAACCCATCCATCGTTCTCTGGTGAATGAATTTTCCACGGGAAGCAAAATCATTGGAATGGAAGACCAAATCTGAGCCGCCTTTCTGAAATTCCCCACGAAGGAATTAAGGGCAATTGCGCAATGAAATAATTGCTTGGAAATCTTTGTGAAACTGATGCAACTACAGCTGTTGTTTCACAGCTGAGAGGTTTACATGCCTGTAATCCTGAAGGAAACCTAATGAAAACAAACAAACAACAACC